AACGTCAGCTCAACTCATAGCATTGTGGGAAAATTCTACTACCAGTCCTTCATCACTTTAGACGAAATAGGGTGAATACATCTGATTAGGAAATGATGCCTTGAACACAGGATCAACTTAAAAAAACGAGGTCAAATGAGTGACACACAGCGAAAGGAGATGGCAACCAGAACAGAGGCCCCATCCTGCGATTCAATTGACATTGACTCACAGAAGGATTTCTCTTCTAAAGCCAAGTCTGGATTAAAAACACATTTCGAGCAGTAAAGCTTAGTGAAATCTGATGATATCGTGTATTCTAATCAAATAATTGTAAGGAAAACTTTGAAAAACCTGCCTAACTCACCTTAAACAAATTAGGCTAACTAATAGAAGTGGGTTAACCTCGTTGTCGAAACTTGGTCTTGTTGTCAGGGCGACTATGCAAAACGCACCTAGTCCGAAGTCGTCTGCCATAGTAGTTGTCATGATTCCCAACATCCGATAATGGACTTGATACATTCTCAAACGTTGTGATAGGGCGGCAGTTGAATAAGAGTGTAAAGAGTAGACAGCTTACCCCTTTGAGCATGGACTTAGACCGACGATGCCGAAAACATTGCCAACAAAGCGCCTCGGACTGTACCAAGTCCACGGTCGTACACTGAAGATAATCATGACCACCATAGCAAAGGAATCCGGGCACGGTCACCCTGACAACAGAACCAAGTTGCTAAAGTGGGATCATACCACTTCTATAAACTAAATGAAATGCAATGATATGGTGTTAACTACGCCACAGTTACTCGTAAAATCTCCTTAAGCGAACCAAGGTGATGAATACGAAGAGCAACAGGGACTCTATGAACCTCCTGACATAACAACCTGATATCAACCTTCGAATCTCTTCCTTATACACTTTCATACGAAATGAAGGTTTCCCCAATAATATGGCGATAAAGTTCTTAGTCATTAATTACTGACAGTTTCAAGACACGCTTATACCCAACACTGGCTTCTCTAATCGCCTCTGGATCCTGTGAATCGGGCAAGAACTGGTACGTTTCGTCTATCGCAACCAGGACATCCGCTCAAAACTGGCACTGTTGGTGGACCCGGAATTCCTCCTTGTCAAAGACTTTCGGTCTTTTCAGAGTCTCTGCGTTCACCTAATCTGTTACAATTATTAATCTTTGTTAAGAACACTTTCAGTAGAGATCAGCACCATACGCAAAGTGATCGATAGAAATCCTTACGTAAATGGCAACTTATTGTATCCAAGTTTTTAAGTCTGCCAAAAATCACTTATTTTCATTAACTGGTCACCTCATTCCAGGACACTGTGTCAAATCCCTCTCGTTCACATCTATTGAGTGGGGATCAGCATGTATGCTGGAGCTTTTCACTAGGACTAGGTCTTCATCAATTAGCTTGATTAAACAAGGATACTCTGAATGTTCAGATTTCCGAATATTTGCCACGATCCACACATTTACACTAAAAAGGTTCACAGTTTGTGTAGAAAAGTTGGCTCCACAAAACGGTTAGAGTGCACCCGTCGTAAATCTCTTCGTGTGCAGGCGCTAAGGTGCATATTAAGTGTGTGTGTGTGTGTGTGTCGACGTAAACCTGGGCACATGCAGTTCGAATGGTACATGTTGCGTCGAGTTCTCAAAAGTCATTTTCATGTCGGTCGTCTTGACGGAGGTGCATCGTCCAAAGTTAGCGGTTCCTACGAGGTGCTCGGACGGAATCGACCAGAGGCCTGGAGAGGGCGGGCTATGCCGAGGGGATCGAGGAGAGGAGGTGAGCCATTTGGAGGGCCGATTTATTGCCAGCCCAATCGCCACTTGATCAGAAAGGCCCAGTAGCCTTGGTTGCAAATCCATAAGTTGGCCGCTGCCAATCGGCGATTGCCGGGCGGGGCGGGTAGTCTGGGCAAAGCAGCTCGGCCGGTGGCTTTTTATTTGCCAGACAGTCACTTGGTGACACCAGAACAGGGGGCACAAATGCAGAGGGTGGGCTGGAAGCCTCATTCATTTTCTACGCTTCCACGAGGATGTAGTCTGTTTGGAAAAAGTATGTGTAGGCAACAGTGGTTGTGGTACGGTCAATAGATGGAAGCAAGTCTTTGCGTTACATGGGCAAGAATCTGGTCAAACGTCGTCTGGCCTCAATCGTAGGAGCCCTATTTTTCAACTTAAATATATATATATTTTAATTTAAATAATTATATCTATGACCGTTGGTATGAGTGCATGCATGCAAATGAATTTATATACATATATATATAATTATTTACTATGTCAATATACATATAATAGAT